TATCTTTCGATTGTGTCACATCAGCGTTTGCAATTAGTTCTACATCATCGCAATAACAATCATCTTTCAAAAATATCCCACTGCCATGTCAATAACAACTTTTGTAAAACATTCTAATTATTAATAATAAGTAATTATTTGATAATATTAAAAATTTGTTTTAATTTAATTAAAGAATGCCTATAAATAGCAGAAGTGCATGATGCTCGTACCGAAGGTTATAGAGGATCTTTGATGTCAACAATTTTCCTCCTTCTGGTGGAACTATCTAAATTAAAAGTACTAAAATGAAAATATGACAGAAAAGGAAGAAATTTAGATATATGATTGTTAAAGTAATAATGCACAATTCATGAAATTTATAATGGTTGTAGTTGGGTCGATCTCTCATAAATTAGTTGATCTTGTCTTTCACAAGTCATAAATAAATATGGTAGTTGAGTTGAAATAAAGGGAATTTATAGATATAACATCTTGTCAATACCTTACGGACAAGTTTTTGTTAGAAAATATTTCGTTGCGAATTTACAAGACATTTTTAACGAAGGTGATTGTCATTTTGTAATAGAAGACAAAAGTATGGTCATCTTGATGCATTTGACTTCAACATATAATCATTATACCTCCCTCTTATACAAAGTAGTATTAGCTCATCCATATCAGTGCAATCTTACTATCTTTCGATTGTGTCACATCAGCGTTTGCAATTAGTTCTACATCATCGCAATAACAATCATCTTTCAAAAATATCCCACTGCCATGTCAATAACAACTTTTGTAAAACATTCTAATTATTAATAATAAGTAATTATTTGATAATATTAAAAATTTGTTTTAATTTAATTAAAGAAAGAAACGTTGAAAAGTTTCTTTTAATTTATGCTAATCATTACTATGTTCGCACTTCCTTCAAGTTTTGAAAGATGTAATTAGTGACCTTTCAAATGGATTTGCAAGAGCCATTGTGGTGTGGTATATTTGTGTAGGTAATAATATTCCTGATAAATTATATATTTACATTTTAATAGATATAAATTAAATAATATATAATCTCTTTCTTAATTCCTAATAATTGGAAATAATAAGAAATTAAAAATTACCCTTTAACCCGCTTCACGGGAAAGCATATCAGTAATCTACTTATGTAAATAATAAGAAATTAGAAATTGCCTTTTATCCCGATTACATACATAATTTCTATTATGCACTGACCACGGACCTTTTATGTAAATTACATAGACAACTTTTGTAATAGATTTTCTACATAGGGGTTAAACCTGCCAACATATAAAAGTATTGTGGTCAAAGTCAAAAATCCAAACATAACATGACCTTTTCTATAAATTATATGGATAATTTTTTGTAATTTATTTTTTATATAGATATCAAACCTACCAATATAAAAAACTATTATGACAAATTGTAAAAGCCAAAAATATAAAAAAGAAAAGTATATATTGTGGCAAAAGTGTAAGTATGATGGCAAAGTGTAAAAAGCAAAAGTATATGCTGTGACAAAAGTGTAAAAAAGAAAATACCGTGGCAAAATTGTGAAGTCCACTATTGCTAAGACTGGATGGTGTGGGAGGAAAGCTTCCCTCACTTTTTGTGGGTTAAACTCTCTTTTCCTTCACTTTTCTTTCCTTCACCTAAAAGCCAAGGAATGGAAGGGAAACCTTTTCCTCACTTTTTTTTTTTAAAAAATATATTTCATACATATACTATACTCATTTTGTAGGGAATTAAAAACCATAAATTTTAATATATATTTTATATTTTTTTAGTAGGTATATAATTTTATAAATATTTAAAAATAAAAAAAAAAACTAACCAATAGCATGAAGGGAGAGAGTGTGGCACTCCTCTTCCATCTCTTTCCCACACATTTTTTCCCTCACCTTTCCCTCACCCATGGAGTGGTGTGTAGGAATGAGGGAAGCTTCCCTCACCCCTTTCCCGCACCCACTGCGTCCGACCTAAGAACTTTTGGTTTAATATATAGTATAATTTACAAAGGAAGACCACCAATGATATATAACCATTGTAACATGACACTCTTTGGGTTGAAATTAGTGAAACAAAAAGTATAAATTGAGATTAATAAAAACTAGCAATTATGAGAAAATTGACAAAAAAAATGTTGATATCGTATATGAATGACATGTAAATTTATAAAATATGTTTCTTTGGATGTCAAATTATCGATCTATTAAAAGTTCATAATAACATCAAAGGAAATCATTTAACTACAAATGTTGTGATTTTATTACTGCAACATCACAATCAAATCAAATAGAATCCCTAATACGGAACGTGCACTTGGTGATGCAGATTTCACCAAGTGTTAGATTGTTCATCCACCTATGGGGAACATGAGTTGGGCCTTTAAGTCAACATTCATGATAGAAGTGAAGTGTGTGCACACCACATGATTGTCGACCAACAGCAGGGCTTTGACCCTCAAAGACACATGTTGTTGGCCATGCATAGACAAATAAGTCGTGTAGGCTGCTATGAAGTATTTCTCATCAAGCAGATGGTAAAATCATTTGTAGACAACTTAAACACGCGATGAGCTATTGTAAGTCACAGAGTGGATCTTGGCAGCAAGGCCACTCTGTGTGGCCTTGCTGCCAAGATCGACTCTGCATCACTCAAATTCTTCAACCCCCCCCCCCCCCTCTTTTAAACAAGCCACTTAATTTCATTTATATGTATATTGACAAGAGATTGTCTCCTTACACTTAGTAAAATAATAGGCTATGGGAAACTACAACCCAATGCGGTGGCTTAGTTTTGAGTGTTATACATCCTCATGGAAATTAACTCATATTCATGTCACCAAGCTCTTAGTGCAATATGTATATAGGGGTACCATAGGGACCACCACCCATTGGTGCTCGACAAGGGTATTTGGTGACCAAGGCAAACGAGGTTGGCAAGGCTTGGCCATGCGGTCAAAGGAACTAGGCGTCGTCCGAGCACAAACCAATTAATGAACTCCATGCAAGCCAAATGTTCAAGGGAAAATGGGTACTTGACGACCAGGGTATGCAAAGTTGGCAAGGCTTGGTAATGGCAAGCCAAGCAATCATGGGAACTAGTTGACGTCTCATACACAAACCAGTGAACGACCCTCGTGCAAGCCAAATGTTCAAGGGAACATGGGTACTTGACAACCAACGCATGCGAGGTTGGCAAGGTTTTGTCATGGGAAACCAAACAGTCAAGGGAACTAGGCGTCGTCCCACACACAGATCAGTGAACGCCCCCATGTAAGAAAAACCATCAAGGGAACAAGCCATCATCCCATACACCGACCCATGAACAACCAAGGGAACAAGGCTTCTTCCCACACACATATCAATGAACAAACCAAGCCAAGTCTAACGATTTAGGGAACAAGGCGCGTCCCACTCACAGACCTATATAAGCCAAACATTTAAGGAAACAAGGCGTTTTCGTCCCACACACATACCGATGAACGACCCCAAGATAGCCAAACGATCAAGGTAGCTAGGCGACGTCCCGCATACAAAGTGTAGGCATGCTCTGAGCGCTCTAATTTCTTCAAAGTAACAAAATCGAAGGCACGACCAGACCAATTAAGGCTAGAAACGTATCGCTAATAGAAGGGACGAGGAAACCAGTGCACACCTAAAAACGGACCCATCGACCCAACCCAAAGTCCAACTACAAACTTTTTATCGACAATAACTTAAATATTCGCCATTGAAGCTAGAATAATTGTGGATCTAAATCTTACATTAATGGATTCACATCAAGCCTTGTATCCATTTCTGACATAGGTCGTACAAGAAAGTCTAAAATGAGAGGGGAGTGAAGCTAGAGTAGATATAAGATGCGGGCGAAATCAGAGCACACATAAGGTAAAGAAAAATAATGATGAATATGATGAGAGGAGGTTGGGAAATGACGATTATGAGGTCAAAGAAGAAGGGGAAACTTTACGAATCATCTTTTGGTGCATGGTAGTACGACATGTTTGTTGATTCTATAGATGTAGATATGTCGAAGGAATCCGTGATTCACTGAAGTGAAATCTTAGAGGTGAAATTTTTGTACTGCTTTAGTTTGGGTAAAAAGAAACGAAAACAGAAACATAAGACTCTATTTATATTATGCGGGTGAAAGAGACAAACATAACACATGTCTTACTTAATCGAATCAAATTATCAAAAATAGATTTTTAATCCGTTTAATTTGTTTAAATGAATGGATCAACTTCAATTTAACTAAATAGGTAGATTTAGGTTCAATATGATTTCAATTCGTAAGCACTTTAAAACTCATAATGTTTTTAATTTATATTTATTTAGTATTACTATGTAATCACTATTTTTATAATTAAAAGCTTTGAAAATAAAAACAAAAAATGTTAGTTGGTCATCTACTTTGTTACTCTCACTGTCTCACATAGTCCTAATCGCTATTATAGATTCTCTTCCATCTTATAAATAACCTTGAACATAATAATCACAAAATCATATTAGGTAATTGAAACTCAGTCAATCTCAAACCCAATAAAAAGGGTGTAATATGATCAAAGCTGAAAATGATAGTTGAGCTACAAAGAAATTAATAATTAAACATTTATAATGTTTTGCGAACACTTAAATTGTGTTTGTATTACAGTTGTACTATTGTCAAACATAAATGATTATTCGAGTTTTTAAGTTTTGAACTGACTTTTTGGATTTTTAGTGTTTTTTGGAAATTTAAATAGATTAACCTATATTCAACCCGTTTATTAAACATGTTGAATTTGAAAAAAAAAAGTTGGGGTTTGTTTGGAAAATCTCAACTCATTTACTTAAACATGTCGGATTGGATTGAGATATTCAACAAGTTTGAACTGAGTGCATTACATTACAACCAAAATAACATCATTTTTGATAAGAAAGAAGACATTCTATGATCCGGAAAAAAAAAAACTCTATGTGTAAATACAACTTGACAAATTATGAAAGATGCTTGGGTCAAATATGTAGAGCATGAAACCCCTGGAATTAAGAGTTACTTTTGTACAACATTAACAAAGTCTCGTATGATTGAAAAACTTGTGTTGGGTTTTTTTTAGTAAGCAAAAGGTTAAAAGTGAGATGATGGGATATTATATTAACAGTAAAAGGTCAACAGAAGAAGTCAAACCTCCCCATGTGAGGAAGAAGCAGGAGGTCCTAGAGTTGTTAATGTGGTGGTATCTTTCTTCTCGAGCCCAAAAAAAGAACAGCTTTGAAAAGCATCAAGGCTACAATTCAATCCTCCAAGTCCAAGACTATCACTTAAAATAACATCACCAGTGTCATGATATCTACACGATGCTACATCCAAATCTAATGCTCCTAAAGACTCCGGCTGCAATTAATTATAATCCATTATTTCTGACTAAAATATAACTAACATTTAAGACAATACAATACATACCCAATACATATCAGTAAGTGAGGTGAGATCCTTTGGGGGAGGAATATGATTTTCATCAAACTCACATTCTTTCGGCTCCTCTGGTTCAGGTGATTTCTATGAACATACATAAAAAAAAATATAATTAAAAAAAAAAAAAAAGAAGTGGTGAGTGGTGAAAAGAAAATGATGATGAGTTTTAGTTTACCTGATTGGGAGAGGCTGATGGAATCATCATGTGTGGTTTCTGAGTATTATTGTTAGGGAAGGAAAAGGCATCACATGTTTCCTCGGCATCATATATTGAAGATTGAATGGTGGTGGAATGGAATCCATTATTTTTGGCATCATGACTTTTGTTAATGTGGGCAGCAATCGCAGCATCAAAAGAATCACAGCTGTACGAAATCTGCTGATGACATGGAGTGGGACCCACTGCATTATGAGATACCTCAGAGAGCAGATCACCTACACTTATGTTAGTAAGACTATCAACCCAGTCCAATGTAGACAATCCCATTCCCACACTTCCACCAATACCATTGTTAACATTGTTACTTTCTTCACCCTTACCAAACCAACCATACCTTAAAAAACACAAAAACCATCATCAATGATTTTTCTTAGAATGTTGTAGAAATTGTTGTTAAAAAGAAATGAAAATTTTAAGAGAGAGAGAAACCTTAAACGGAAAACGGGAGGGCTTCCGATTAGGGCGTATACATCTCCAGCAGTTAAAAGGGAATCCTGATTCCATTTCTGAGAATTGGAAAGATTTGATGTTTGAACATCATAAGGCACCAGTTTTAATTCTCCAGATGCTGCTACAGTAGAGCTACCCCATTTACGTGTCATATGTTCCAAAACCGATGATATTTTCTTTCGTGTACTTAAAGTCAGCTCCAAATGCGGGTTGTGATTGTCCTAACAAATAAAATAAAATAAAAATATTCATTTATTATACAGATAAAGATAAAAGCACATAATTTATTATTGTTTCTTACCATTTCCAAGGCTCTCCGTGTAGTTTCATCAACAGGGAAGAGTTGAAGTTTAAGTTTCATTGAAGACAAGATGTTTTGATGAAAAATTGGCACAGGGGGGATGATACTTTTGGTTTTAGGAATAGAATCCAAACCTTTCTCTCCTGAAAGCCAAGATTAAGTATTAAAAATTAAAGAAACAAAAGTGTAAGTTTATTATTTGGTCAACGGGGTCAACTCACCACCCTGTAAATCCTGTACAGTATCAGCTAATTTATCCAAGGCTGTCCTTTCCAAATGTTCAGCAGCATCAGCAACTAAAGAAACACCAGCTATTGCAGCCTTCTCCCATTTCTTATACGCATCTGTGGTGGTGGTGGTGGGAGCAGTACCTTTAATAGAATTAGAAAGTAGAAACAAAACATTAATGAATGACTAAAATACCCTTGATGAGAAGATTAAAATACCTGATCTACGGCGTTGTCTTGGTGGTTTAACAGGATGTGAACCATTTCCCCCTTGTGTTGTTGTAGATCGTTTTCTTATATTCTTCTTTCTGTCTTTCAGTAGTTGGTGCTCCTTCATAGAAAAAAAAAAAAAAAAAGGTTTCCAAGTTCATAAAATGCAAAATTAAACATGATATATAAATAAATAACATGAGTATAGAGAAGTAACTAACCAATGTCTCCAAGAACATCTTGAATCTTCGAGGCTTTAAGTGAAGTTTTGAGGCTTTACAGCTATGTTTTTCAAGTAACGACCACCTGTAAAAGCAAAACAAAGATGTTTTATCTTTTATAATTAATAAGAGATGAATCATGAATATTGTTATATTGTTATATAGTTGTATACCATCGAAGCATAGCAGCATTAGTATCCTTAGAGTTTTTGGCATCAAGAGAAAGTTCGGGTCCCAGTAACTTGTTCATACGTCTTACAAGACGATAGTAATAATGTCTAACTTGATCCTTGTTTTTACTTTGGACACGAGAAGTTATCTTCTCAAAATTCTGCAACAAATATTGGTAAAAATTACTTCCTTTTTAAAATAAATCAAATGATATATATCACAATAATGGAGAAGAGAAAACTTGTTGCTTGCCTTGCCAACTTGGCGTAGTGCAGTAAAGAAGCTTTCCTCTTCCTGACGTGTCCAAGCTGCCCATTGTCGTGTTGCTTTTTTCACTATATTAAAAATTATTAAATAAAATGCGTATACAAATAAAATAACAAAGGCAGCTTGATAAGATAAGAAAAATATAAGTATTCCCTTTATCCAGACCCTTAGTATACCTGGCTGACTAGAAGCAACATGGTTTGTTTCAGAAGTGATTACATCTTTAATGAATACATCATCATGTTGTTGTGTGGAAGTGGAAGCCTCTTTCTCAAAGGGAATTTGTGACTCCATTTTTCTGTATTCTTCTTGTCAAGGGAATGTTGGTGTTTTCATGACCTTGAGACCTGTAAACTTGTAGTGAAATGTTTCCTTCGATGTCCAGTTGAATTTGGATGCAAGATCTATAATTAATACAAACTACAGATACATTAGCATTCATTCAGGTCCTTGATGCCCTATAAAATGCCATCAACAAATTCCTGGAGTGAAATGCAAGTAAAGGCTTTTATTGGAAACTAATAATGCAATATAAAAGCACAATACATCATCATTCTGGAATCAAAACGTTGGTAAACACAGGTGCAATGGAAAAATATGGACTAAAATTGGTGAAATGTAAGCTAACAGTTCCATACAAGAATTTAAATTTGATTTTGGGGGTAACAAGTAGGATATTGAAATTTGTGTGTATTTTACTTTCCTATTCCTATTCTAGATTTTTCTTTCTGTTTGGATGGATAATGAAATTTTGATTTGCATTCTACTAGAAAAAGGGAAAGTCACATGTCTAAAGATAATTGTTTGGATAATTTCCAAGGATCAATCAAATCTACATGTTCAAGTAACACATACCATAACATTTTAGTAAGCTTTGTATCCTCTAGTATAGGATTGAAACCACATGAAAATACATCCCTCCAAATTAAATGTAAGCCAATTGCATAACCAAATAAATATCTTTTAGTATCTATAGCTAAAGAAGAAAACCTAACCAATTACACAGCCACACATGTATTGATACTCTACGGTAGATATGGATCAGAAAAATAGCATATGAAAACAACCAAATAAGCCCTAAATAAGCTCACAAGGGTAACGAATAAACAATTTAGTTGAGAAAAAACGATACATTTGGTTGTTGTAACAAAGGAATGATATGGATGATTTGGGAAAAGAGACCTTGACTCTTTTTCTCCCTATGAAGATCAAGAAGTGCAAGACTACAAGCAATCCAGTTTCTCCCTACGCTATAAAAATTGATGTTTTTGCTTCAAAGAACCTCATGAAGACATCATTTTAGGTAATGTTTGCAACTTCTTTATTTGCATAGTTACAGATTTTTTCAACTAAAAAAATATGTTGCATTTTCGTTTAATAAACCTATGTTGTATATGGTTTTAGTACAAATATAGGGGCATTATCAAGTCTCTTTGCCCGGGGTGTGAAATACCTATGGCCCTGCCCTGCTAACATAACATATTTAACATTGTGAGCACACAGTTATACAGATTACTGATTACACACAGTAACCAAACAGCTATTACAATTGTCATATGATATCACCAAATCAACTATTCAACATAACGTTCTGTAGCATGATTTCTAATTAAGTTATATATGCAGAATTACTTATGAGAAAAGAAATTAGTTTATGATTATGGAAAATTTAACCCATATAATGTTGTTTAGATCCCCAGCTGACTTATTTATTGAACACACACACAGTGAACAAATTGAACACATACACAGATTCAACAGACATAATGACACATATTACACATACACGTGTAAGCTGTAATGGTGATTTGTGAAATGCTCGAAAAAAATAGTACAAGGTACCTTATATTCTTAATCGATCAGCAGGAAGCCAAGAACAGCCACTGAACAAGACGAAGGAGAAGCCGTGGTCGGTCGACGGTCGCTGTCGAGAGCCGGCGACCAACGAATTTAGAGTTGCGACTTGCGATTTGGGGTATTTTGTGATTTTAGGGCAATGGCAGATGAGGCGATGAAAGCCTGTAAGAGGCAGTAGTTGATCGATTGATTACAATACAAAAGCAGGCACATGAGTCTCAACCAAGCCCTTTATTTTTTTTAATAAATGTAGTAATATTTTTTTTAACTAATAATATAAAAGGCCACAGGTCAACCCATGAATTTTTTGGGAAACCCGAAACATGACCGGATAATATGTGGATTGCCTGGTCAAAAAAATTCAATAAAAATCCGTTTTTTTCAAGTATTTCAAAAGACCAAACCTCTTATTTTTATTTCTATTGTCATTTTACAAGTATTTCTACAAAAAGATTTTCATAAAGTTATAAAATTGAACAAATCTTCGCGGATTCGACCCCTTTACCACTATACACTATTTTAGTGTAAAAGATTTAGGGTTATTAATTTTGTTGGCCTCGACAACCACCAGACTCACCTAACAGTCTGACGAATATCTAGTCAATACTCTGCTCTCAAATACCGGCTCAACCCAAATATTAAATGTCAAACGATTTTCATTCTAAATGAATAACATTTTCCCATAATACCCTTGGTGAAATTTGGTCAAATTTAACCAAGTCAACTCCGTCGAGTTGACTCAGGCTTCGTACGCAGAGCGTACTCTGGAGGTAAGCGGGACATACAAGCATGTCCGAGGCATCGGGGCCAGATCTACGTACGCGCAGCGTACCCTGCGGTACACCCAATGTATGCAACAATCCTCCTCTTAGCCTATTAAGCACTAATTTCTTCAACTTAACACGTCTAAATGCAGATCCAAGGCTAAAACACCACCATGAGTCATAAAGTTTCCAACTTTATGACTTTGCATGTCCATTGAGCGCTTAAAACACCAAATCTCAACATCTTAATGCATTAAGACCTTCTATAGCATGCATGGAGTAAAACTAACCATCAAGCCCACATTTTTATGACTTAAGACCCCCCATAAGGTCTGAAAGGACGACTTATCTTATCAAGAACATGCCATGCTCAAGAATCACCATATTTGGGACTAAAATTGCCCTAAAGGAAGAAATGGCTAGATCTACAAGATAGAATGATCAAGTTGTGAAGTTTTTACCTCCAAGATGTTGCTAGCAAGTGTGGAATCCAATATCTAAGTTGTTTCCAATCTTCAAGGTTCTTGCACCAACTTATCATTCTTTAAGAACACCAAAAAGGCACACAAATAAGCTAAAAATACACTTTCTCACTTAGGGTTTGATAGAGGGTCGATTTTCACAAAGGGGGGCTGGTGAGGGATGAGAAATGAGAGATAATGATTTTTATATATTGACCAAACCCTAAGAATTATGGTTTGCACTTTCACCATGTATGCCTCGCGTACGAGGTGTACGCCTAGCGTATCGGGGCGCGCCTTAGTACGCTTAGCATACACAACGTACGCCCTGCGTACTAATCCAATCCTGGTCAAAATTACCATATTGCCACTATGCGCCATTCTAGCAACCTTCCTTAAACCCAAGGATCAAAAATGCAATATTCTTTCATAAATAGGTTTAAAATTGAAAATACTTCAACATCGGGATGTTACAAGTTAGGCCTCAGGGTTTCAGGAAATTTGAGAGAGTTTTAGAGAGAAATTGGAGTGAAAATGGCCAAAAAAAAATCGAATATATTTATAGGCCAGTACAGAGGGCGTACCACTCCTTGTCGACGATGCTCCTCCCATCTGCTACCACATGTCGTCATTCCAGTGATCCACATCATTTGATTTTCTGGAGGAGGCACTCATCCGACAAGGCCACGTGGCACCCTCCGGGTGGTGCCACGTCATCGCTTTCATAGGTAAAATTTTTAATCTTTTAAAATTCATTACTTTCACATACGAGCTACGTTTTCGATGTTCTTTATCTCCATGCGTTCTTATCGACGAGTACTACAACTTTCCTTTAGACTTCGTCAACTAATTCTCATCTCATTCTGAATTTTACAATATATGAAGATTACACTGTAAAACACCATGCAAAATTCATAACTTCTTCATACGAATTCCATTCTCGACTTTCTCTATATCGGCGGTTTCGAAATACGATTACTTCAACTCTTGTTTATATTGTTTTGGCTAACAATCAACCGGTTTTCATGTTGCTTTCTGTGTCGCATATTGTTTTAATGTGTTGTACCGAAACTTTGAAAACTCATATGAAGTCACCGCCTAGGCGTTCTTTATATCGATAATTTTGTATTAACGAATACTACGAGTTTCATTTAGATCATTTATCCTAAATATTCTTTTATTTTTATTTGTTATTTTTAAATTTTCATTTCGTTTTTAACCGTATTTTTACACAAATATTATATCGTTATAATATTTTTCTGTATAACATAAACACAATATTATATATATACAACAAACACTTCGTAAACACATAATCATGTAAGAAAAAGTATCATTTATTCATTAATTTATAATACAATTTATATTAATTCGACAACGAAAATGAGGGTCTATCCCCGATATGTCTAACGAAAAGTGTGAGCATTACATTAAAAAAGGTTATAAAAAGGGTTAAAATGTTGTATAAAGGATCAAGAGGATACAACTTGATACCAATGTTTATATAACATGTACACCATATATGAACATATGTTCGTTGATGAATATTTGTTCATATATGAACATAAGTTCATGTGGGTTCATATATGATTTTGTTTTAAGTCCACATTCCACCATCAACTTCAATTGCACCTCTAGATTCATCAATTTCTAAATAAGAACTCACTAAAGTATATAAAAAATCATATGCTCATCTATGAACATGTATAAAATCGCTTGTTACGTTACATATACACCATCGCCATCTTTTTCATAATTAACAACCAACAAAAACCATCCCATACAACCATCATCATGCCATATCCATCATTATTGTTATTTCTGTAAGAACAAACGCATAACAACAAAAATCAATTGTCATCATATTTTTTTTTTCCAAATCAAACTCGAAATTGGACTTATGCAATCGACATGATTGTTATTACGATATTTAATGGTTGAGTTCCTTCAATGGCTTAAATGATATTCAATTGATGTGATCCATTATCTAAAGAGACAGTTGCCATGGATGCAGGCTCCGAAAAAGAGTAAAAGGGTGGAATTCTAGTTTGAGAATGAAGGAGTGAAGAAGTAGGGTTGAGAATGAGAATGCAGACTACTAATTATATCGATGATGTATTTGATTCTTTAGACAAAGATGTATACTTTTATTATGCAACCTTTTAATCTAATATATTGATATGATAATCCTAGAGTTATAAGGGTGGTTATA